TTTTTTTTTTTTTTTTTTTTTTTTTTTTCTCTAGTATGAAAACATTTTCAACCAAAAGCAGTTTGTTAAATTTGTGGTTCACCTGCAGAATGTTGCTGAAATAGACAAAAATGAGGAAATTGCCTATGGTGTGTCTCTGCATGCATCACTTACTGCTGCACTATGTCGGTCTTAAGTATTTGAAACTGCTTAAAGCTGTTTGATTTCTTACGCTCGTTGTCTTTGCTGTGCAGTACCGTTTTTTTAAATGAAGTGAAGTGGGGAATGTTTGAATGCTGCCTACCAAAGCAAACACGCATCAGATCGGAAAAGACTTGGGCTTAACCTAGCCAAAACTATTCCATCAAAACATGTTTGGAGCGATTCCGATTCAGCAGACAATGTTAAGTTCTTTGTTTTTGACTGGTATCACAGTCAAATAAAATTGATGGTTAGCATATCCAGAGCATTTGCTGCTGCTAACGTTTCAGGATCATTGCAACTGATCATAATAACAACAACAATAATCATGATGGTGTGAACCCCTAGACATTTCCTGAGATGTTTATCGTACCATCTCACACCTTTTCAACCCTAGTTGTGATGATGATGGATGGTCACTTTATTCACCAAACATTTTCAACAGTGTCAAATCTATGCAATTTCCACCTAAATATTAAAATGTTTGTGCATTTAAGTGCTTTGAATCACACTGTCATTTTATATTATATAAATGAATCGCAACAATAAAGTGATATATTCTGGAATACACAGGATTTATTGTTTTTATTAATATTGCCAGTGTTTATATGGGGGTATCTGATGCATTATAGGCAGCTGATTTACTTTCTTTTTTTTTTCTCAATTTCCTCTTCATTTTCTAACAGTGGAAGCTTATTTTGATCGGTGTTCCCTACAAGCAGACCCTGTTTACTATAAACTGTGGTGAGCAGTGTCTTTTAGTGAGAATCATAATACATTTTGGATGCACGAGGACAGAAAATAAATGTGTTCAGTTCCTTTTGTTCCCTTTTGGAAGTGATCAGTTTATTTCTCTTTGAAAATTGGCAGAAAATGATAAAGGATGAGCCGAAGGAACATGTTATCAATAGTCTGAAATTATAGAACCGGTGACAAATACGTACACCAGAAACCGACCTCTCAACTGTTGAATTTAAAATGCTGAGGATGTTTATTAAAGGTGAAAATGAAATTGTAAACGCAAACTAAATTTATTTTTCTTTTCCCCAACAGCAAACCTTCGAGGGATTTAAAAAAAAAAAAACCTTGATGACCTTTGCACCCTGAAATAACTTGTATCCGAAGGTCCTGGGATTGTATGCAGTTCAAACACTAAAGCATGTGGCCCATGGGTGCCACAGTCCAGCTACTGCAAAGGATTTTTTTCTCCCATGGCATTTTAACAAAGGAACAAAGTATCTAAAGTATCTCAAAAAAACATTGGATCACAGGGCCTTTATTTCCAGGATAATCATAAATGTGTGGGCCTGTACGGGGATGTTTTCTTTAAAAGCCTCCTTGGCTGACTGTCCCTTTTTTCCTGAATAAGTAACCTGACAAGAGAGACTCCCATGAGCAACTCTGCAGGAGGCTCGATAACGTCGACATGAGTAGTACTTTAGGCAAAGAAAAAGATTCGAAAGAAAAGGACCCCAAAGGTGGTCCAGCGGGGAAAGAAAGGGAAAAGGAGGCCAGGGCTCTAGCCGGCTTAGTCAAGGATGGTGGCAAAGAAACGAAGACCAAAGGGAAAGATGCCAAAGAAGGAAAGAAGGACACCAGCAGCTCAACACCGGGTGTGGCCTTCTCCGTTGATAACACGATAAAGCGGCCAAACCCGGCAGCAGGTACGCGCAAGAAGTCCAGCAACGCCGAGGTGATCAAAGAGCTCAACAAGTGCCGGGAGGAGAACTCAATGAGACTGGACCTATCCAAACGGTCCATTCACATCTTGCCCACCTCCATTAAGGAGCTGACGCAGCTGGCCGAACTCTACTTATACAGCAACAAGCTGCAGAGCCTGCCAGCCGAGCTGGGTTGCCTATCGGGCCTGGTCACTTTGGCCATGAGCGAGAACTCCCTGACCAGTTTGCCCGACTCCCTGGACTCTCTTAAGAAGCTTCGAATGCTCGACCTCCGGCACAACAAGCTGAGAGAGATACCGGCCGTTGTGTACCGGCTGACATCTCTCACCACGCTGTACCTGCGCTTCAACCGCATCACAACAGTGGAGAAGGACATCCGGAACCTCTCCAAGCTCACTATGCTCAGCATTCGCGAGAACAAGATTAAACAGCTGCCCGCGGAGATAGGTGAATAAGAGCTGCATGAATGCATGTCTTCAGTACAGCAGAGGGTGGGTGACTGAAAGTGCTTTAATCTTGAATTGGCTAAATATCTGAGTTTGGTGTGCATCTTTCTGCAGGGGAGCTATGCAACCTCATCACTCTGGATGTTGCCCATAACCAGTTGGAACACCTACCGAAGGAGATTGGGAATTGCACACAGATAACCAACCTCGACCTGCAGCACAATGAGCTCTTGGACCTCCCAGAGACTATAGGTAGTTCATTTATATTTTAGGACTCGGAAGCAAAGTTCTTGTGTTGTTAAGGTAAAAAAAAAAATACAACTCTAGATACGTTTTTTCTTTTGTCATTTTAGGCAACCTGGCAAGCATAAATCGCTTAGGTCTGCGATACAATAGATTGTCAGCCATCCCCAGATCATTAGCCAAATGTCGAGAACTGGAGGAGCTAAACCTTGAAAACAACAACATTTCGGTGTTGCCAGAGGTGAGTGGAAACATATAAAATATACATTTAAAATGCAAGTTGTAGCGGTGTATGGTCGTGCACCTCTGAGTTTTTCAAACATGACTGTCACTAATAGTTGACTGATAACAGCACTATTACCTCGTCTGAGGATTTTACAAAGCCGGTCATTTAGTTTTTATATGCTTTTGAATCAGGAGTTCTTAAATATCTTTGTTTCTTTATATCACATTTACTACTTGACTTCTTTACTATACTTGTGTATACAGGCAGTAAAGTACTCTATGAATATGAAGGTATTAGTTTACAGTCAATTACGAGTCCTCTTTGGTATCTAAATGGCAGTGAAAATGGTCAGGAAGATCATTTACGCACAAATTTGCTCTTCTGAAAGGCCATTGTGCATTGGGTGTCAATGGTTAGTCTGTAAAAAAATCAATATACAAGTTAATTTACCATTTGCTGTGCTTGACCAGGGCCTACTGTCGAGTTTGGTCAACCTGACTAGTCTAACATTGGCGAGGAACTGCTTCCAGTCGTACCCTGTGGGCGGACCGTCCCAGTTCTCAACCATCTATTCCCTCAACATGGAGCACAACCGCATCAACAAGATCCCCTTCGGCATCTTCTCCAGGGCCAAAGTGTTGAGCAAGCTTAACATGAAGGTATATATATATTATATATGCATGTTTGTCTGTGAAATTAGTGAGGTAAATCCCAAAGTCAGCAGATTCTTAAAATTTCTAAACGAAGTAGAAACGATCATGAATTTTCACCAATCATCATTTATTTATTTATATTCTTGTTTCACATCTTGCTGTCACATGTAAAAAAAAAATTAAAAAAAATCCTTTGGGAACATGTGAGATTGAATTAGACCTTCTTGTCATACCTACGCTATACTGTGTCAGGAACAATAATTATGCACATGAGAAATATAATTTAAAATCTTAACAACTTAGTGAACACAATGTGAGGAATGTAAATCTGAGGTGTTAAATCCATTGCCTTGTAGGTCTTAAGCGTTGTGCATTGTAACTGTCACAGTGGGAAGAAGTGCAGGAAATACTGCATTTACATGTAACACACAGGTAGCAGCATCTCACAGTACGTGTTAAATGCTTAAATTCTACACCGTAGAGTGGAACTACGTAGAGAAAAAACGCTTATTTGCTCATATTTATCTCAACCGTTGTTCAGAACTAAGGCGGACTCTGTTGAAGTTTGTATTGGCATGAAGCCAGACATGAACCGCATGCTGTCTGTCCATGCTGTCTGTCCATGCTGGATGTCCATGCTGGATGCAGTTTGGATCTCCACTGGAAACATGTATTTCTAGTGCGACGTAAAAGAGCTGCCGCAGTGCACTGGTCTACTCTTGAACAGCACTATCCTTGTGTTGACTCTGGATTGTCACTGATTCTGCTAATGAGGGTATGTCTGCCATTGTCTTCTTCAGGACAACCAGTTAACATCTCTGCCGTTGGACTTTGGCACATGGACCAGCATGGTGGAGCTCAACCTGGCAACCAATCAGCTGACAAAGATCCCAGAGGACGTCTGTGGTTTAGTCTCTCTGGAGGTGAGTGTTTGCAAATGCAGAACCCACTGAGTTTATTGAAGAAGTCTCGTTACATAAATTGTATATATATTTTTTTTTTTTGTGTAGGCAGTCCTTAGGAATAGAGATCTTTATTTAGCAACTCTTAACTCATGTTATGTTAAACCTGCAGTAGTAAGAAAGTAAGATTTGGCTCCACAAATATAGCTGAAATGTATAATACACTTTTTTCAAGAGGTGTTTTAACTATTGTTAAACATGAATATTAGTCGAGCAGCTCAGTTTGTTTTCATGCTGTGTCATGATGCCAGACTGTCACTGTCTTCACAGGTGTTGGTGCTGTCCAATAATCTTCTCAAGAAGTTACCACATGGTATTGGAAATCTGAGAAAGCTACGGGAGCTCGACTTGGAGGAAAACAAATTGGAATGTCTACCGAATGAAATTGCTTATCTGAAAGATGTACAGGTGAGTTTTCCAGAAGTGCAGTTCTCTCCTTCACACTTGTACTAGAGATCACAGAATGATGTCGTGTTTCTTCTGCATCTGTTGTAATGGGGAAAGGCTCATCATCAGTTCATGGCTGATGAGGCCTTTAAGTGGATTAAAAAAACAGCTGATTTTGGCTCCTCCTCCAGCGATGGCGATGCACGTCTCTAATGTTGCTGTTGATGAAGATGGATTTTTGCTTTTCATGTAACTTGGCTGGCTTTCTTGCTGGAGCAACGGACCAGTAATTAGAATGATGAACCTGAATCAGTAAACAAAATCACAATTGGTATCAAAACAATACCCAATCCTAGTTAGTGGGTTGAAAGATACTCAAACTGATGTAAAGTCATTACAGCAAACACAAAGACAGTCCAATCCATGGCTATATACAAAGAAAGGAACATGTAATATGCCGTCTACCAGTTAGACAACCACCCACAGTTGTTGGATAAAACTGGGTGATGAATGGCTTGATTGTAATTATATGATACGATTGGTAAATACTCTTCTCATTTCAACAAACCTTTTAGAGCGCATTATAAACTGTGTTCTTACTCTTTCATTAGAAATTGGTGTTGACAAACAATCAGCTGACCACGTTACCCAGAGGCATCGGCCACCTCACCAACCTGACTCATCTTGGTTTGGGGGAGAACCTGCTGCAACACCTCCCAGAGGAGATCGGTAAGTACCTCCCTCGAGCCTGCAGCCACGAAGATCAGTAGCATGCTCGGCTAATCCGTTCAGGTTACTTTACTGCTCAAACTGTCCTGCAGTGATGGGGGGGGGGGGCACACACAAACAACTCAGTATTCTGTGGTGACGATGTGCACATGTACATCTAATTGGTATTTTAGAAAGGGGCACAAGTGTCATCTATTTTTATTTGTGTTATCAAAAATATTTGAAGAGTTGGTGCCACTTCAAAAAAAAAAAAAAAAAAATACAATTTTACAAATTAGTTGTAGCTTTTTGAATTCAAAGTGTAACATTGTTTCCTCGATGAAAGCTAAACTCGAGCGTTAGGATTTAAGAGCTTAACGGTGCGTCCCACCTCTGACCCTTCCTCCGAGCGATTGGTCCAGCGTGGCTGCACTGGTGAGGTGAAGAGTTGAGTCAGAGATTAAGGAAGAAGAAGCCGATGGCGGATGTATTTTTAGAGTGTTCAGACTGGACCCAGAATGGAATTATACCCGTGGCTTTGTGGTGTTACGGTTGCCATTAGAACCAACAATGTAATGTGTTTAAAAAAAATATGACGACGGGCATTAAAAGCTTCATTCGAAACCTCAATATGTAGCTTTGCTATACATTTGATACAGCCCTTATACATTAAGTCTGTTTGCTGACAGGCGGGCAGAAGGCATTATGGGAGACGGAGTCCGTCTGGATTGGACGACCGGACGCTACGTCTCGCTCTCGTTTGATTTCCAGCTTCGATTCACCGTAACAAGAGTGGTGCCGGGCATATTATAAGGCTTTCGTCAACCCCAAAAAAAAAACTTTTTTAAATATCCGCCGCCATAAGATGCACAACAGCAGCAGCTACAGCTGGAGCAGTACCAACCAGTCGACCAATCCTAATGTATCGCCCGGAGGCTTATTACTTGAGTCCCCGGTTCCTTGGTTGACTTCTTCAGTGCATGCCTCCACTAACAGTAGCTGGTGTCTGTCCTCAGGTACGCTGGAGAACCTGGAGGAACTGTACCTCAACGACAATCCCAACCTGCACAGCCTACCGTTCGAGCTGGCCCTCTGCAGCAAGCTGTCCATCATGAGCATCGAGAACTGTCCCCTCAGCCACCTGCCGCCCCAGATTGTCGCGGGAGGCCCCTCCTTCATCATCCAGTTCCTCAAGATGCAGGGACCGTACCGTGCCATGGTCTGAGCCAAGAGCAGCTCAGTCCCAGTCCTGCTCGACTCCACTCGCTCTGAACCCTCTCGCCTGCCCGCCCCCATTACGTGTATCATACACTGTAAAGAAAACAGACTCGCCACAATCAGTGTCGGGGGCGAGGAGGAGGAGGAGTAGGGAAATGTTTCTTTTGCCATCCTTAGATAGAAAGGAGGCGAATCATTGGAGATTTGACTTCTGTGTTACTCCAGAGTTTATCACGGTCATTTTAGGACCCCAGCCACCCCACTCATGTTTCATTCTGAATCATACAAGAGAAAAAAAAAATATTTCCATCTCTTTGCCAAAACTGAAGATATATAAAGTTCTATATATTGAGTAACTGTGAGCTAAGTGGCAAGTCTTTTAACCATATAAACCGTACTCCCATTGCCAATATATTTACAGTAATTAAAAGCATCTATTATGTGAGCAAGGATACAATTGTATGCAAAAACAAACAAAAAAAAAGTCTTTGGAACTTCACATTTACTGCTGCTGGCGTGATTTTAACTTTGTCATCTTGTTGTGTTTTCTTTTGATATTCATTTCTTTTAACGTCTCCTTTGCTCGCGATCACGTCTGTTCACTGCTCATTGACCGTAGAGAACAAAGGTCCAACGATGGCTTGTTTATACTTTCTTTTTTTTACCTTTTTATGTTTAAATACTGTGCCTATGTTTAGAGTGATCCAGTGGTTCATTTCTAAACACAATTGTCCGAATACAAAGATATAAATTATTTCAAAAATTCTTTTTTTTTTTTATTATTTCTGCTGTTTTTAAGTTTTTCTAATTTGTAGTGTTTTTTTTTTGTTTTTTTTGTTTTTTTTGCCGTTGCATTAATCTGTTAAATCGAGCGATATCAGTTGTAAAATAAGATCTTTTTAACAAATAGCAGCAGTAGTTGGTAAACATTGAGCTAGTAATGTATACATATGAGAAATGCCAATCACACATGATTTAAAAAAAAAAAAAAAAAAACAAAGTGGGATTTTTTCCAAAAAAGAAAGGGGAGGTGAACCCCCCCCCCCCCCCCCAAATATTGCTTTTGTGTGACACAAAGGAAAACAGTCAAACCTGCACAGGTGATGGGATAAATGAGATGTTTTTATAAATGTATACGAATCCTGGTGGTTGCCTTGAGTGCAATTCTAGTTCTGTTTACTGGTTTGATCTTATCTTCAGTGTTGGGCTGCAGAGCTGTCATTCAACGGATCATTGACCAACATATCAAGCATTTTTAAAAAGACGTAATCTGGAGCGAGTGGTGAGTGTATAAGAGCTTCGAGTGAGGTTTGGTAATAAATCGACAGGTAACACTTCCGTTTTTGGTTTAATTGTTGGTATTTGTTTTTGTTTTTGACCGGGTTTCCTAAGAATCTTAATTACATGATGGAAAATGTTCCCTTTATTTAGATACTTTTTAAAATGTGTATATATATATATATAGATATATCTATATATATATCTATATCTATATCTATCTCTCCATTTGTCCCACACTGTCCCAGCAATGCTGCTGCTGCTCTTATGCACTTTTAAAAAAAAACTTACTTTGGCATCCTCTAGAAAAACGCACCGTAGCCTCTCATTGGTTATTTTGAATGGGGGGCATTTTGTTTCATTAAGTATTTTATCGTTAAACAAGCCGTTTATCATGTAAATTTGAATATATTAAATCTAAATGTTGAGCTTAGCGGGCTCAGAATATACTTGTTACTTTCTCTGGTTTCATCCTGTCGATCTTAATTCAAAGGAACTCGCTCTCCTGAACCGTAGGACGGTCTGTGTGGCCGCGAGACGTCTCAAGGCTCCCATATCCTGCTTTCTTATTTGCAAGTGAAGTGGCTTATTGCAGCTCAGATCAGCACTGCTCATTTTAAATCAAATTTACATTAAGTGTTTTCTTTTTTCTAAATGATGAAATGTGTATTCAGTTAGTATTATTTCAAGTGACTGTACATTAAAAATCCAGACAAAATGTAATCAAACCAAACTTTTTTTTTTTTTTTTTCTTCTTCAAAATGTGTTGCATCCCAGCTCTATATTCAATCATGATTCTCTTTTGTATTGAAAAGCGTGGGTCTACTTTTTTGCAGCAGCAGCTTGGTGTGTTTTAGTGGGCTGTGGTTCGAGTGCCACAGCTTACCTGTGGGGGGGTGGGGGGAACGATGTACGCTGCTTCTAATTTACCAGCAGAACCTGTTGCTGCTTTTCGTGGACTGAAACATATGCTGTACAAGATGGTGGGGGGGGCAGGAAACGATCCACTCCCAACACTGATGCGGACTTAACTCGAAAAACCCGACGAGGGACAAATCCACTGACCTTTACGATTAGGCGTCAGGCCTGGTGGTTTCCTCACAGATCAAATCGTTTGGACACGATGAGACGACACAACACGGTGCATATATGAGCTTAACGCAGTTACAGTACAAGACTGTCGGAAAAAGACAAAAAAAAAAAGAATTGTAGAAAGGGCTTTGTGTGTTCACGCTCAACAAACACACCGGAGGCATTGCATTCCTGGGTTTTCTATAAAAGCTTTGGAAGTTTTCTTTTTTTTGTGTATTTACTTTTAGCTGTAAACAATTGTGTGAAAAATGCCTTCAACGAGTACTCAAAAGTGAGACGTGCATTAGGTGTGCAGCGACAGCGCTGTGACCCATTTTTACATTCGGTCTCTCTTGTTTTTAGTTGTTTTGTTCATGTGCCATTTTGCAAGATTGAGAATGCCGATGTATAAAGATGCAGAGGATGATGGGAGGCGGGGCAGAAACTGGACTGGGGGGGGGGGGCTCATGGACCAGAGAGCATTTATCACATCCTGGAATGTAGTTTCAATATGCTGTGGAGGGAGATGGAGGTCACCGACTGACGAGCTCAGCCAAACGTGTGACTTGTTGGATCAAAAATGATGACGACGTATTGCATACTGGTGCATCCAAAAAATAATTGGAGTATAATTGGTGTTTATTTTTATATCGTCTGTGATTTTCGGCAGTGGAGAGCATCGCAGAATCAACGTTATTTCGCTCCTTTTTTTTTTGCTTTTTATTCTGGATCATACAACTTGTCTTTTTCTTGCCTGGTTATTTTGTACAGGAAACAAGCATGTTGAACACATATTGGACATGATTTGTCTGGGTCAGAATTGGGCGTTTCTTTGCATAGAGGACTTGGATTTAGTGGCTATTTGGTGTATCTGCAAATGCTCCCTTTTTGTATATTGCAAAGAGTATCGAAGCATTGTGTGGCAATGCTTATCCTACTTAATCTACATTGACAAGCAGCCTTAATGATCTTTTTTATGTGTTTGTTTGGCTATTCCTTGTGTCTATGGCCACTGACTGTACTTGATGACAAGCAACTGGTCGTTACAATGTAAATTTGGGTCTAGTTTCTTTCCGTCTTATTTTTCCTTTTACTCTGTACAGTGATCTGACGTTACAGTAAACTCAGTATTACAAAATCTGTAATGTGATGAGTTTTACATAAAGACAGTGCAATGGAAGATAATGCCATTTTGCTACGCATTAGCTTGCGTCTCACTCGTCTTTGGCATTAAAGGGGAATTCCACCAAAACTGACTTGCATTTTTATTCTGCAACGGCAGAGCTTTTTCAGTAGAAATGACTATGTTTTTCTTCATATATTTCAAAAGTAATATCAGGTTTGAGCGATAATATTACAAGATCAGAGGCAGTACAATTATGTGACATCAACTTGAATAGTCTGATTGAACTTTTACCACATCTATATGTAGAATCTGCAGTTTTCAGAAACATCAAACTTTTTAGAAAGTTCAGGTCGATGTTGTAGGAACACACGTTCATCTTCAGAGCACATAACGACATAAATGTCCACTTTTCGTAATTGGACCAAATCACTTTTGGTGGAAAGGCCCTTTTAATGTGTAGCTGCCGGCTCTTTCCCCTACCTGGATCTCACCCGCACACACCCCTGCTATAGTATCTCCATACATTTACTTGACTGCCTTATGCGCACCAAGCAAAACCTTTATGACAGATAATCGCTTTCCTTCTTTCCTTTCTTTCATGTCAGTAAAGGGGTCTGGGTCCACGGATTGAGCAGATGTTGAAAGCAAAGTGTTTGGGTCAGTTGTCTCCTGACTGGACGAGCAGATGCAGACATGACTACCTCTATGTGAGTCTTCATTGCTAACCACACTGACCAAGCTCCAGTCTGAGGTGTTTCTACCCGTGTACATACAAAGCTGTGTGTTGGCAGCAGGAACTTGGATTTGGACGAACAATTCAACCCCAGTTTGTTTTACTAAGCATCCTTCTGTTTTATTTTGGTTACATGCCTTTACTAAGTATTATTTGGCAAATGAAATGAGGAAACAGTTTGTGTGTTTGGTTGTAAATGACAAACGTAATGCCGCCCCATTGTAAGACAGTTGCCCTGAAACCAACGAGCTGCAGAGTACTACTCTGCAAATGAGTGAAAATGACCGTGTGGTGATGATCTGTATGTACATACATCTTTTTAACTGTAATAAACCGATACATATTTACAAATTTATGATGTGTTACTCTCCTATGTTTCAGTAAAAAGTTATCTGAAAAGAATATATTATGCTTTGTAGTTTTAAAACACACAGGTTCACAAGTACCAATAATATTTTGAGAGAGATTTAAAATAAGTTAAGTTGATATTCAATGAATAAGATCTTTTCTTTTTAAACTTTAACCAAGATTGTATCAATTAAGAATTTGTCTTTGGTATTTGTCTTTTTTTGCTTTTGAGGGAGTATTGCTGACAGAGTGAAGACAATATCATCAAAGCTTTTTGTCCAAATTCTCAGAGAAATTATTGAAAGATACAGAGAAATTCAGGGCTCGCTGTCCTCACGTTTTAATTACATCAACTGAATTTATTGTTGCGATTGATTATTTTGGTTACAAAAACATAAGATCGTATTCCAGTGTTTCTATGTCAGAGGCCCGAGCTGTGAGTCTCTGCTCCAGGTCAACACCGCCCCCTGCTGGTGAATTAAAGTCTTAATATGATCAAAGCCGTCTGTATTTCTGTAACACGACCATCTGAAAGTCACTTCTGTCAGGCAAATGAAGTCTATCATCCTGCTTCGTTTCGGTGAAAATGTGTGGAGCTGCGGATGAATTTCCCCACCTGTTTGTCTGCGCCCTGTCGCCTAAAAGGGGCTCGAAATCACCTGTAAAAAAACCAAAGTGGTTACGTTAAAACAGACCCTGAGCGCTCTGACCTCACATTCTTCATCCTCTAACTTTACCACTTTAAACATTTTCCCACGGCGTCATCCTCCTAAAAGGGGAAAGCTCTTGCGAGACGACAGGTGTCAGTGTATCCTTGCGCTTAGTCTGCACCCTTATGCAACAACAAGCGCCACGACAAAACAGCTGTTTACCCAACAGAAGTCAGTGAGTCAGCCCTGTGGCTGCAACGGGCGATGTTATTTTACCAACACAGAAAAACGGGATTATCAGGCTGATATGAGCACTGAGGTGAGCGCTTTGAATAGTCACTCAGTTTTAAAGCCTCTCACGCGATACTTAGGCAATTGCCCAATGGATGTCAATCAGACCAGCCATAAAGCTATATTTTTTCAAGAATGAATTTCTGTCAGTTATTTGAAAGGCCAGATCAATGGGGGAGAACGGGGGTCGGTTGTGATGATTTGGTTTCCGCAGGAACAGCTGTGAGCGATGTTGCTCAGTCCAGTCATGCTCAGGTGCATGTCAT